CAGGGGGGGGGGGTTCGCGCCGGCCATCAAACATGGCAGATGCTGTGCATTTGTCACTTCACACTGCTCAGGAAGAGGCGGTGCGTAGAAAAAAAGAGCTGGACGATCTTGTTTCCGCAATCAAGCCTCATGGTTACAAGCTGGTGACAATGTTTCATATGACGGCAATGGTTTTTTTCATGCGGTATTGGCAGCTCCCAACTGCCTGGAAAGAAGAACAGCAAAAGATCTATGAAGTGGTGTTCTCACTTTTCTACAGTCAAATGTAAGTAAAAGTCTGTGGCATACGTTGGTTTTAGGGGCGGTTTAGGGTTTAGGTTTCGGTGTAGGGTTAGGGTTTAGGATTAGTTTTTAAGGTTAGTGTTTAGATTATGGTCCAGGCTGAAGTTAGCAGTAAAGTTAGCAGTAAAAATCCTTAAATTTTAACACCCAAAAATCCAGGATTACCGGCCTACAGTATGTATGCACAGTCATAGTTGAGCAAAAACGTGTGTACTAAATCCTGCACTAATTGATCACATTTTGGGAGAACCCCTTAATCAGGGAACATCTACAGCAAAGTGGTTTTTTGTAATGCATTGTGAACAATATAACAGCATTTCTCTGAAAGTGTTTCATATACTTGCTCCTCTTAGCAATTCGTTTACATTCTTTACACCGCCTCCTACACCCTTCCCCCGGCTCGGTCGCTACGCTCCCTCGCTAGGTTCGTGCCTTCACTTTGTGCCCAAATTAAAAAACGAACCCCCCCCAATAAAAAGCTGGCTACGGGCCTGGATAGTATGTTATTTATAGCTCTATAGTGTCCTAACTGCAGTCACAGCTAAAGACAGGCTAAGGTGAACCCGGAACTGTCACTGGACATGACTAATGGTGATCCTTTCAACCCGAAGGCGAAACTAGAAAATCCGCTGCTAGAGAGAGAGAGAAACGAAGAGAGGGAAACGGGGAGAGAGAGAGAGAGAGAGACGGAAAGAGAGATGGAGAGAGACGGAGAGAGAGAAAAGGAGAGAGATGGAGAGAGAGAGAGACACGGATATCTATCTATCTATCTATCTATCTATTTATCTATCTATATCTATCTATCTATCTATCTATCTATCTATCTATCTATCTATCTATCTATCTATCTATCTATCTATCTATCTATCTATATCGGGTACATATCTGTAGTACCTGTTACGACAACGACCCCTTGAGCATTAGTTTGTGCTGGCACAGCATGAACATGATTGTGTAACCAACAAACGATGTTTCAATAAGTGAATAACGGACCCGAACGAACGTGTTAACAAGTGACAGCCTAGACCAATAAATTGTGCCCTAAAAAATTTTATATTCTGATGTTATTTTAGGGCCCAATAGCCTTCCATAGACAAAACCTGTGAATTCTGTTGTGCAAAATGCACGACAACCTTTTCACCATTTACGGCCGTGTTTAATTTGTTACATAGAAAATCAAAGAAATACGTAAACCCGTCTCTTTATTAACATCTTACCTACATTACAAAACACTTGTCATGCAGTATTCTCCTCTTTAATCACGTTTATTTTATTAAAACATCACGACATAAAAACCGCGCAAAATTCGCTACACACAAAACTGCCAATCTTGCATTGAACTGCACCGGACAGCGTCACAGCGATGATTTCATTGGCTGGTGAGAAATGTCGTTGTACAGTTCAATGCAAGATTGGCAGTTTTGTGTGTAGCGAAGTTTGAGTGATTTTTATGTCGTGATGTTTTAATAAAATAAACGTGATTAAAGAGCTAGGAGAATACTGCATGACAAGTGTTTTGTAATGTAGGTAAGATGTTAATAAAGCGACGGCTTTAGGTATTTCTTTGATTTACTATGTAACACGGCCGTAAATAGTGAAAAGGTTGTCGTGCATTTTGCACGACAGAATTCACAAGTTTTGTCTATGGAAAGCTATTGGGTCCTAAAATAACATCAGAATATAAAAATGTTTAGGGCACAATTATTGGTCTAGTGACAGCCATGTTCTTTATTATCCTCTCGCGTTTACATCGCTTCACATAGGTGGCGCTGATGGTTATCTCTTAACAATATCCAACAGACGGACAAATTATGGAAGCCCTGAGACGACATCCGACTTTTTGAGTTTCCGAGTTGCTAAGTTTCTTCTGCGCATACGCAAACACCTGAAGCAGAGACAATAGAACACTAATAATACTAATAGAACATATTATATAAAATATGGATACAATAAAATATATGAAAAGACGTGCAGATGAAACTCAAAAACTCGGAAACTCAAAAAGTTGTATGTCGTTTCAGGGCTGAAGTGCCTGAAGCAGAGACAATAGAACACTAATAATAAAACATATATAATACAGTCGTTATGTTCCGCACGGCTACACTAACGCCGGTAAGCGAGCGCGGCGCCAGCGGTTTGCGAGCCTCGTTATCGATCGACCGGAAACGGTGTTTGACTTATGGCAATCGGATTAGCGGCGAGCAATCGAGCGTACAGAAGTAAATACGGCAAAACTTCACCCCAGGCGAATACCTGATGAATGGAAACAATCTAGTTAATGGCTTTGGCAGAAGCGTGCACTAATTGCAGTTATAAATTCAACTTGAATAACTTGGAAATGACGTCAGGCAAAAGCCTGCTCGCTGATTGGACGACCTAATCACAGTCGCTGCGACCTGCTCACAGATAGCGCGGGGTTAACGCCCTGGTGAGGTACGCCCTCTAGCGGCCGTAAAGATCAAGGGCGGTAATCATTAACGTTAATATAAAATATATGAAAAGGCATGCGCAGATGAAACTTAGAAACTCGGAAACTCAGAAACTCGAAAACTCAAAAACTCGGATGTCGTTTCAGGGCTTCCATAAAACTGTAACGTTACTAACTAGTGCTGTGCGTCGGATCCGACATGAACCAAAAATCCGATCCGACAGCATTTTTGAAAATCCGAATCCGAATCCGAATCCGATGGCTATTTTGAATTCCATCCGAATCCGAATCCGGTGGCAATTTTTGAATCCGAATCCGAATCCGAATCCGATGTGTATCGCTAAATCCGATCCGAAATCCGATCCGAAATCCGAACCGAATCCGGAACATAGAAATTGTAAATAGTGTGACAGCATCGTGTAAAATTCGTGTTATAATTTGTTTCAACATCAGACTTTGGGTTGTTG